TGTATAAATATAGAAGAATGTCTGAAATGTAATTCACCAAAAATTAAACAATCAGTAATGAGTATCTCATTTATACTAGGCAATTTGCTAAACAAGTATTTTATTCTAAATGTAATTATGCATTTGATAATATCCTATTTTATAAACAAGGAAACTGAAGGTTAGCAAGAGTAAATAACTTCCTCTCCTTGACATTTTCTCAGAAGATCTAAAATTAGTGTACAACACCAACACAGCCACATCAGAGTTTATAGCAGCACAATTCACAATAGCTATATTATGGAATCAACCCAGATGCTTATCAATAAATGAATATATAAAGAAATTGTGGCATGCGTGTGTGTGTGTGTGTGTGTATGCAGTTGAGTTCTACTTCGCCATAAAAAAGGAGAGTGTGGCATTTGCTGGTGAATGGATGGAAATAGAGAATATCATGCTAAATGAAATTAGTAAAAGTCAGAATCTCAAAGGTTAAATTTTTTCTCTCATATGCAGAAGCTGGAGTCAAATAAAGGGTGGAGGTTAGGGGAAGGGTAGGGATAAAATAAAGAGCCAATCAAATACAAATTAATAGACAAGCAAAAGGAAGTCTAGTAGAGGAAGGAGAGGGGAGGGAGAGCTGGAGGGAAAGGAGGAGGTCATGAACTGAAGCCAGTGTCCATGCCCGTAGGAGCCTGTGGAAATGAACCCAATATTGTGTATGACTGTGAAGCTCATTAGGGCTTTATAAACATAATGATGACAAAATAATATAAAATAATAATAATAAAACATAAAAAAGAACCTAAAATATATTTTTTAAAAGAATAAATATCTTGTCTGAGATCTTGTAGATATGAATGAGGAAAGCAGAAATGGAATCAATGAGTTTGGCCTCAAATCCCTGAACGACCCTGCTGGACTCTGAGAAGCAGAATGGGAGGAGGTGTCCCCTGAGAAGTCAGCTGTGGGTCAGGTTGTGGGTCTGGATATTGGTGCAGTGGGGGCACTTGAAGGAGCGACTTTTTCCCTCCTCTCACTGTGAAGAGAGTTGGCAGGATCCAGGGAAGTCTTCTATGGGAACCTCCGGGAAAATGAACTTTCCGTTTTGGTTGTGATATGAAAGGCTTTTAGCCATATAAAAATGAGATGTTTTCACATGAAAGTCTTTAACTCCAGATATTTAAATGGTAAATTTTTTACCTCACTGTCTTTCCTCTGTGTTCATTTTAATTCTTGTACAAATTGGCCACCATAATCAGAATAAGTCTAAAAAGAAAGGAGTCACTACTAAAGAGAAAAATGTGTTTTGTCCTCCTTTCAGAGACTGTTAGATTTTGGTGACTCCTTGAATCAAGTATTTGCTGAATGAATGGGTGAGTGAATTTGGAAGATTAGCTGTGAATTCCTGAAATATACACTGTTAAAGTTCCTGAAATTATTCCAGTAAAAGCAATGTATAGAAAGAAAAATATAGAATTACACATGTGTAGAAAGCATGTAAAAGTCATCCTACAGAAGGGAACTCTCATACATTGTAAGTGATAAAGTAAATTAGTGTAGCCATTACCAAAAACAGTATGGGAGATTCCTCAAAAAACTAGAACTATGATGTGATTCAGCAATTCCACTCCTGGGTTTACATTTAAAGGAAAGGAAGTCCATATGTTTAACAGATAACCTGCACTCTTGTGTTTTTTGCAATTTTTACTGTTCTCAATAGCAACCTAGGTGCCTATCAGCAAATGGATGGATAAAAATAATGTGATATGCGAACAAAACAGAATATTATCCTGCTATGAAGAGAACGAGGCAATGTGGATAAGCTTGGGGACATGATATTAAGTGAAATAAGGCAGGCATACAAACACGTATACCATGTCTGCTCACTGACATTGGAAGCTATGAAGCTGATGTCAGAGATATCAAAGGTAGCATAGTGGCACCAGAAGCCAGGAAGTATATGGCGGGTTGAGAAAGGATGGTTAATAGGTATGGAGAAGTTGGACAGTAAGAACAACTTCTACTGTTCTGTAGCACCTTAGGATAATTATGGTTGACAACAATAAATTATGTATTTCAAATGACCTAGTAGAGAATATTTTGAAGTTTTCTAACACAAGAGAAATGATAAATGTCTGAAGTGATAGATATGTTAATTAATCTTATCCAGTCATTTCCATATTGTTGTCAAGGATTGAAATATCATACTACTTTTCTGTTGCTGTAACAAAATACCCAAGGCTGAGTAATTTATAAAGAACATAAGTTTATGTAGCTTGTAGTTCTGCTTGGCTCTGGCCAGGGCCTCACAATGGATGGTATTAGACTGGTGGGTGTGTGTGCAAATGAGAGTGATTTCATGGCAAGGCAGGAAGGCAGAGCATAGAGAGAAGCCATATTGCTCTTTTATAGCAACCCCTTGCAGGAACTAACCAGGGACTCACAAGAGCTACACTAATTCCTTCTGGTAAACACTCCCTGGTAACATAGTCATCCCACACTAGACCCCATCTCTTAAAGGGTTCACCACCTCAGAACATCATTACACTGAGGATCAAGCTTCCAACATGTGTACCTAAACCATATGCAAACAAAGCATGCCAAACTTCATAAATATGTACAGTCATTACTTGTCATTTAGTAATTATTTATAATCAGCCATAGAGCAGGCCATTCGAGGCCATATCTTGGAGGAACTTTCAAAAAGTAACCCCAGGAAGGGGAAACTTAGGAAATGTTGGTGATTTTATTTTCCTTTGATTTTGCTCTTTATTTCTTAAACAAGAAAGATCAGGTATGCATAGAAAAACTTACTTGGTATTGTGCAAATTTACTTTTTAGACATTTTTATTTAGTTTCCCTTCCTCTGAATCAGTCTGTTGATACCATTTTTAAAAAATACTATGTTAGGGGCTGGGGATGTGGCTCAAGCGGTAGCACGCTCGCCTGGCATGCTTGCGGCCTGGGTTCGATCCTCAGCACCACATACAAAGAAAGATGTTGTGTCCGCCAAAAACTAAAAAATAAATAAATCTCTCTCTCTCTCTCAAAAAAAAAAAAAAAAAAAAAGTACAGTGTTACACATGTAAGCAGTTAAGTAGTTTCTAGGTAATACAAGTCCAATATTTTTCCTTCTTAATATCCTGCAGAGTACAAGGAGTTATTCTGTGAGCCACTGAATACATGTTTGCCCCTAAAATAGTTTACCAGTGATAGTAGTAACACTTTGTTGGTCAAGATTTTACTATAGGGAAAGAAGCCTATTGGGGCAGGGTGAACTGAAGAATGAAAACTTTGGACTGTCTGGCTACCAGATTTTTATATTCAGACTCGAGGAGGGATAAAATAAACATTTCAGAGAGTATGTTTTTTTTCTTTCTCTCCTTCCCTTTTTCTTCTCTCTCTGTCCTCCTTCCCACTCTCCCTTCTTTCTTGTCTTCTATTTCTATCTCCACACCCTCCCCTTTTTTTTGCAGTGCTGGTGTTTGAACCCAGGGCCTTACGCATGCTAATCACAGGCTCTACCACAGACTATACTCCTACTCCTCTAATATATTTTCTATGTGTTGCCTTTAGACTTACCCTCTTCTAGACCCCTAAATTTTCTTTATCACTAGCAGTTGCATTTATCTTGACAAACACAAGTTTTCCATGAATCTATCCTTTTCTTATGCTGTGGCATAGCTTATCTTTTTTAAAAGTTCCATTTTTATTCAGCCTTAGCCTTCCATTCCTGAATGCCACTAGAATTTCCTCTGGACTGATTTATCGTATGTTCCTTGTTTGCTATTGTTTGCTAGCAAACTTGGATCTCTTCTGTTTGCCTCCTTTGTTTCTCTGTATGATATAAGATCTAATTACCACCCAGCATGAAGTAGCAGCTAAGATGAAAAAGGCAGCAAGAGCAGGCAGCAGCTTCACTGAGAGCTAATCAGCGGCCCCTCCCTGTGTATTCAGCTGAAGGAGGAAGGGAAGCATCATTCACCAGAGTGACTCATATTTTAAATGTTTTTTTTTTTCCTTTCTTGATTTGAGACTGAAAAGGGGGATTTGTTCAAATTGTTATAGAAGCAAAACACTGGACAATACTTTTAATTTGCAATCAGTAGTCTTTGATGCTTCTTTGGATTGCACAGAGTATTTTTCATCATCAGGATTACTCAGAGTAGTCCCATCCTATTATCCTGGCATTTAAATGTAGATACAACAAACATTTCCAGGAATAAAAAGAAAATCAAGTGGATAATTAATCATTTTTAATAAGGCTTAGAATTTTACTCAATTTTGAGCTTTTGGTTTCCAAATTTGCCTAAAACTATCTCTAGGTTTATGTATAAAGCATATGGCATCTTACAATAGTAGCTTCTTGGCTTTTTTTTTTTTTTTTGTGGGATGGATGAGTTGGATAATTAACCTTGTGTATGTGGGGAGGGAGTTGATAGTATTTTTAATTTTTAAATGACTGATTTGAATTTTCCTTTATTAGATTGTCAAAGATTAAAAATTAGAAAATATGTGATATTGGGTTCATGTGAAGAGACATAATACTTGCTTTTTGGGGAGTATATTTTGGTCCGACAATTCTAGAAGGACAATATCTATCAAAACTGAAAGTACATATACCCATGACCTAACAGTGCCACCTCTAGGAATCTACCCTTGAACATCCTGTAAGACACATGTATAAAATGTTCCTTATGGTATTATTTTTATGTAAATATAAATGCAAAAATGGTCATTAATAGATTAATAAATAAAGTAGGATATTTCTCCTCTCTTTGTCCCCCATATAAACACACACCCATACACTTACAGATTGGTGGGTGAAAAGACTTTACAAAAAAGCCCTGTTAGCTCTTAACTCTGGGGGATAGGATTGCAGGTCTCAGGTAAAAGGGTGGATTTTGGGGTGCAGTGATTTTGTGTTTTTTAAAGTTTTTTACCCTGTGTTTATGGTGTTTTCATAATTGAAAATAAATTTTATGTTAATAACCAAATGTGGGTTTTTCCCCTCTTAGGACTCAGCCCAGGAGAGTGTTATTACTCGAGATATTCATCGTACTTTTCCTGCTCATGATTACTTCAAGGACACAGGAGGAGATGGTCAGGAATCGCTTTACAAGATCTGCAAGGTAGGGCTCTCCCCTCTGTTTTTTTCTAGAATGTTGTACAGGGCTGTTTTAGGAGCCTATTTTAATTAAACCTTTTAAATTTTCCCCTATTTTTGTGCCTTATTTGTATAGTACCATATTTTCTCTTGTGTACTCCGGGATCCTCGATCCTGCGCCCTTCTCAAAGGGGACTTTTCTTCCATGTGTTCCTAAGGAGGCATGGCAGAGCTGCAGCATGGCTCTACTGCTAACAGAAAGGAACAGGATGTCCTCTCAGGCTGCGCTGTGAAGGCTCTGAAGAGTCCCAGAGGACTCTACCCTTCTGACTAGATAATGTGGTGATTGTCTGAACTTTTGACAGGAAGGCAAGAGTGAGAATCAGTGTGGGGCCTGTTGTTGAATCCTGGCAGGTTCTCTGATTCTGTTGATATACTCTGTGCTAAGTCACATTATACATCCTTTTGTTTATACGTTTCATTTTGAAATCTTTCCTCTCCCTCATTATTAGTAGGCCTGGAAAAACACTGCTTCCTGCTTTCCAGTGAACTGCTTAGTTACAAAGACCCTGTCTGTCAGTGGAGAATAGCTAACAAGTGATTAATTGCTCCAGGTTACATCAGAAATGCAGAGGGAAGTGTAGTGGATATACTCATCTTGTTCTTACTTGTCATTCTAAAAGAGATTGTTAATAATAGTGAGCTACATAAAACTCAGATAATAATTTGGGGAAAAAGCAAACACTGAGGCTAATTTGTAAGTTAGATAATCATTACCTGAGTAGCAAATTTAGCCTTTTTAATGAATAGTGAATACTTGCCAGTAGGTAGTCTGAAGTGTTTTCACAAATCTGTTCGTTTTATATTTACTGTTTTTTTTTTAAATAGCACTCATAAAAGCACTCGCCTACATATGCCAACCAAGTACAGTTGTTTAATTTTGCAAATGGCACATGTTTCATTAAAATCTGCTTGCATGTTGGTGGTTTTGCCCTCTTCCCACTCCTCCATCTTTTTTCTTTCTTTCTCATTTTTTTATCTCAATATTTTGGAATAATATAAATATACACTGATCAGAAATATATTTTAGGGGGGGTACCGGGGGTGTAGCTCAGTGGCGGAGTGCTTGTCTAGTATGCATAAGACCCTGAGTTTGATTCCTGGCACTACAAAAAAATATATATATATATATTATTTTTATATAGATGTATCATTTAGAGCCAGAAATACACAAATAACTTAAAATCTGAGGGAATAACAATCTTTGAAAAGTGATACATTGGGGGTGGGACTGTAGCTCATTGGTGGCATGCTCGCCTTGCATGCTGGGTTCGATCCTCAGCACCATGTAAAAATAAATTAAAAATGAAGGTATTGTGTCCATGTACAACTAAAAAAAAAAAAAAGAGAGAGAAAAGAAAAGTTATGCATCATCAAATTGAAAAAAATACCAAAATTATTGCACTGTGTATAATATAGTCATTATAGACTTATAAAAGGTAAATTTAATTATTAAAAATTTTTTGAATATTTTTGAAATTCTACAAGCTAACCAGCTTCTGGTTTGTATAAGAAGATGGGAAAAATTTTCTATAGTTTCTGAGTTTATTTAGAAGGATCTAGCTTATAGCATATGGAGCAACATTTTCCCCCTAGCATTTAGTGTATTTTCAGCCAATCAGTGTTTTTTTCTCCTCAGTTTTTCTCTGATTGTTATTACTTTCTTCATATAACTAAAACAGATGGTTCCATGTTCTTGCAAGCTCTGACTTCTTATTTTTCTCCATTGTAGTAAAATTAGTATTTGCTCCATTATATTAGGGAAGTATCTGAAACATTAGCAAACATAAATTTAAAAGTTAAATGATGGCACTATTAAATATTTGATATGCTTTTCTCTGGTATAGCAGACAATAATCCAACTTTAAGTTTATTCAGAAATAGTCATTAGTGCATTATATAGATAAAAGTATAAAAATGTAGATCAGAGATATTTATTGACAAATAACTTAAATCACATTGAATTTTGTGAATATGTAGAAAACAGGTAAAATCATATATAAGATAGCATATAGAAATTTTTATACATATACATAAAATAATTTTATAACAGTCTTGATGATGGAGGTGAGCAGAAATGTATATATCAGCAAATATTTGAGAAACTAACCTATGGTATGGACCAGTTGGTTTGTGATTAACACAATTCCTTCTCCTCTTGATATACCCTTATTTGGCAGTTTGGTACTCATGTCAGGAAACGTTAGGAGGTAGTGATACCTCACAAATATGATTGCATATTTGTTAGTAACTTAGGACTAAATATTTTTCTCAAGCTTCTACATCTACTTTGTTTTTTGAGTCCAGTTTGAGCCATAGTTTTTTTGCATGGTTACAACTCTCATCCCCAATCCCTAAAAACTGCTTGTGTGTGACCTTAACGCTGAGTATAATCTACCTGCTCTTAATATTTTTGGTCACAGAATGTTATCCAGCATTATATATCATACTCAGCAATTTGCCTTTGGGTTTTTTTTTCTAGTTATGATGCACAGAACTGAATAAACATTAATGATACCTTGATCATATATATCAGCCACTTTGGTAAATGATCTATAAATAAGAACAGTTTTGCTTTTTCTTTACCAAGACTTATTTTTTCCCTGTTTTATTACACTGATCACAACCTCCGGATCAGTGTTAAAATGAAGCAATGATAATAGACATCCTTGTCTTGCTTCTGATTTTAAAGGATTTACCATGAAGAATGGCGTGTTTTATTCACATCAGCAAAACAATTATAGACATCTTGTAAAACAAAACTAAACAAAACAGAGTCTTCCATCTGTGGGCATCCTTTCACATGTGTCTCCTCATTCTGATAATTCTTCCTGAAGAGAGCTTGTATAATGATGCAATGTGCCGTACTTTTAAATTGAGCAGATATTTGAAGGAGAATTTCAGTTGCAGTAAGTTTAGAAACCAACCTTGGTTTCAAGGATATGACAGTCTGACTTTGTAATTGAAAAGTTTTGTGTGGCTCTGGTGAAATGAGAAATGATCTGGAATGTCAGATTAGAGGGAGACTGTTAAAAATTTACTATCCTTGTTTTACTGGTCCTGTCAATTCCAGTTTCACCTCTTAATATCTTTTTCAGAGTAGGAGGAAATCAAAATGGTCCAAAGCTTCTTTTGTCATAAATTTATATGAGGAAAGTTGAGCTGAAAGTATAATAGTAAAATGAAATTCATAGGAGGCTGCAAATGAGAGTTTTCTGAAAATGAAAACAATTTGATGGGCTGTAGAGCACTCATCTAGCATGTGCGAGGCCCTGGGTTCGATCCTCAGCACCACGTAAAAATAAAATGAGGGTATTGTGTCCAACTACAACCAAAATAAAATATTTTTTTAAAAAAACCAATTTGGTCCTTGCTTCTTCCCTCACTCTTTTTCCCATTTAGTTGGGTCAATATTGTATTTTTTAAAAGTTGTTGTGGAGCAGGTCCCACAGAAAACACAACAAGTCCCAGTTTTGTCCAAATTGAAGAGTTTTTATTTAGCTGGCTGGCCAGTGACTGCCCCCTGCAGGACCCATAACTGTGTCTGCAAGGAACAGCCCTGAGCCTGAGCATTTTAGGATAGTTTAAGGCAAAAACCATATCCCGGTTGACTTAGCTGCAAGCAAGCAGGTACAGAAGCTGGACTGGGCAGTGAGCAAGACAGTGCAGTGGTACATTGGTATATCCCACTGGATTTTCCAGGTTGGCACAGCAGCAAGCAAGCAGAAGGGAAGTGGGTCAAAATGACCCTACTTCAGTACAAGTTAGAGAATGGTTGCTAACATCTAGATAATCAATCTCTGACAAGGTACATTGCCCAGGAAAAATGGAAACCTAAGAGAACAGTTTTACATTGTATAAGAATTATTGTTTTGTGTTGCCAAGATGCTATGCTGCATAACTATTAATGGGTACAGTCATGGGGCTTTCCCATGGGAGAAGCATTTCTTACATGATATGGAGTCTCAGAGTAAAATGGAGTCTGTTTGGCCATTGCCCATATATCCTGGTCCATAATAGAGTGTCCTTGAGAGGGGGCAGAATATACTATTATCCCAAGTATCGTTAGCACTTTTCTAATTTAAATATGATATAAAAAATGTGTTTTGGGTTGGGAGACAAGTTGGTACAGGTTAAATGACTGGGCATCTGGAAACAATTGTGTTTGATTCTTCCACCAGACAGATCTGAAAATATGTCATTTGCTGGTGAGTGGGTGGCAATGAAAAAAGAACATCATGCTAAATAAAACAAGATTCAGAAAGTTATGATGCACAGAACTGGATAAACATTAATGATACCTTGATCATATGTATCAGCCACTTTGGTAAATGATCTGTAAATAAGAACAGTTTTGCTTTTTCTTTACCAAGAATTATTTTTTTTTCCTGTCTTATTACACTGATCACAACCTCCAGATCAGTGTTAAAATGAAGCAATGATAGTAGACATCCTTTTCTTGCTTCTGATTTTAAAGGATTTACTGATTTTGAAGGGTTTAATGTTTTCTCTCATATGTGCATAGTAGACAGAAAAACTTAATGAAAGGCAGCTCTTATGAAAACGGGGGGATCAGTAGAGTAGAAGTAGGGGGCAAGGGGAAGAAGGTAGATCACTCCTGGTAAGGACATGGGCCTCATGAGACTATTCAAGTTCCAATTTACTATTATTCCAAATGTTGTTTGGATTTTTTCTTATAAAATATTAACAGATAAATGCAGAACTTAACAGCTAAATCCTGCGTTGGTTATTTGCTCTGTCTCAATACCAAAGCTTACAAAGATCTTGAAAATTATTGCTTGGTTTTCTGTTACTGTGTTTTAGACTGTCACATCAATGATGTTCATTTACTGATTTACTTCTAGATGTACATCTCTTTTTTAAAAATACTTTTTTAGTTATACATGGACACAATATCTTTATTTTGTTTATTCATTTTTATGTGGTGCTGAGGATGGAACCCAG